TCTCATAACTTTCATTCTCTCAAACACAAAACACTCGAAAGATCTTTACACTAGCTTTTAGCATAGTGCAATTGATCGCTCAGACAAAAATTCTATGGCTATTTGTTGTACGGCTGTACCAGAATAAGAAGGGAATTTTGGATGTGTTGCTGGTCTACTGGTTGCCAGTGTTGTCTAACGGAAGGTTAATTAAGAGAGAACCAAAGCAGCCCCTCCGACACACGAAACAAAGCGTTGATCCTCTCTTCAGTTCGAGCGAGCTTGGAGTATCGGGAATTGAGGCATTTGAGGTCAAATTGACATTTTGATGTTAATCAGTGGAAGCAAGACTCAATTTTGAAATTTTTTGACTATTTTTGATTATCAAAACGGTCAACACCTGTCAACATCAAAATTGACAAATTGACTCAAATCAGTAAAATTGACGTCAATCAGCATCAATCAAGACTGTCAATTCCTTTTTTGATTTTTTGAGGATTTTTTTGACTCAACATTGATCCATGTTGATCAAAATTTTTTGATCAACATTGACAAATTGACTTTTTGATTTGATAGTAGACTGATTGTGCTGTCCCTACCGGTACCAGACTACCGATAGAGTGATGGAAACAGTGGCAGTGACGACTTTACCAATGCCCTAGCTGGAATAGTGATTAGTAGTACATGTATGTAGCAGTGTCTGCGACCTCGTGAAGAGGCGCCATCAATCGATCCGTCTGTCGACATCGCCGACTGAAACAGAAGTCATGCACTGTATTGTTGGCTCAATGGCGGAGCAGAGGAGCTTCCGCTTGTTGTTTGTAGTATCACTGTCGTTGCCATAGGGTTAACGGCCGCTCCGGGTAGAGGTGTCGTCGTGCCATGTTGTTGTCTCATCACTCCAGAAGTAGACCGGCGATTCATCGCTCCTCCGGTAGATCAAACTACGTTGCTCCTTGGTCGCTCGATCCGTAGCACGAGTTGTAGTAGTTGTGCATGTCTGTAGAAGAAGAATTGATCCGTCAAATGGAAGACGCAAGACGGTCATTGATTTTGCGTCGTCGCAAAAGAAGACATCGATCGATCCATGCTGCCGCTGCTTCCATACTATCCAAAGAAGAGGATCCTTGTCATGGTGGTGAAGTAGTAGCCATTGGAAAGAGGAGCAACTGTAACATCGTCTTCAGAGAAAGAGCGTATCTGGTTTTTGCATGAGTGGATGAATGATTTTAATGAAGGTCAATTGTGGATCAATCAAAACCATCAACAACTTTCAAAAAGCTTTTTTTGAGTCAACATGGATCAATCAGAGTCAATTTGAGTCAATTTGAGTCAATTTGATCAGTGTTGATATTTTGATGTCAACATCGACAAATTGATTCTTGTTGACATCAATTGATCAAATTGATCAACATTGACAAATTGACAGTTTTGAGTCCTGTCAAAATATCAGTAACCATCAATGACAATAATATTGACATCAAAATGTCAATTTGACATCAAATGCCTCATTTCCCGATACTCCCTTGGCGCGCGGACGAAGGCCAAGTCGCATCAACACGATCAGAAGCTATATGGAAGGAACACCCTTCGCGGAGTCCAGCCATCACAAAACCTGAGACCTTCCTGGCCAAATCACTGATTCGTGAGGCTGCTGAATGAGCTCCACGTTTTGCTGTTCATTGTGTGTTCAGAAGAAGCTACTGCAATCATCGCCTGGATAAGGCTCTTTGTCAAAACAAGCTCTCAATATCAGCCAAAGCCACCAACAGTAGGTAGGTTACGTGTTGTCTGTGCCTGTGCTAAAAGGGACATCTTACCTCTCTTATCGCTAGTACAAATCCTTGTAAAAAGCGCCACAACGGAAACCAGGTTTTCCTGCAATGACAGGTCCGTCCAAGCCTTTTATCCTCCCGTCTCACCACCATTTTCCTCTCCTTGACCATTCCACTACAGTACTAGTACACTCCATACTCGCCCCACAACCCCTCAGCAACCCGATCTCAGTAAACAACAGATCTCTTTTGCCAAGGAAGAACACATTTTGCTGTTAGTTGTGGTTTTGCTTGATTGAGAGTAGCAACCATGGAATCTGTATCGATCACAAACCTTGCTTCCCTTGTTATTGGGATCCATAAAACCTGTGACGATATCTGGTCGTCCAAGATGACAGTAAAAACAGCAGGACATCAGGTGCTGACGTTGAAGCCTCTTTTGGATCAACTGGAGCAAGAACAGGACACTTGTTGGCGAGAACCTCAAGGCAATGCAGGCAAATCTTCTGGAACTGCAGAAGGTAGTTGCAAAAGCCAAAGAGATGAAGCTTCCCGTCTATCCTTGGAATGCATCTTCTATCGGTGGGAAGATCTTGCACCTCATGGGACAAATCCAGTTCTCAATTGGTTCATTGGGCGTTAGTACTCAAAGTATCAACATTCAGCAACAACTCCGGACATTTTGGGAGAATTGGTCAAGAGGAATGAAACAGCTTGCTCATAGTCAACAGGTGGATCAGCAGCAAAAAGAGCTCCTGGTTCAAGAAGATGCTCTCGTAAATATGACTGGAGTCGACAGGGAGGAAATTGAGGAAGCACAGGAAGCCATGAAAGTAGTCCATCAAGATATTGTTGTGGCTCTCAAGGAACAGACTACCTCTCAGAAAAGAGATACATTGTTGTCCGAAAAGCTCTTGCACAACAAATTATTGGCGCTCTAGCTCTTGCAATGGAAAAGTGCAAGCCAAACGATCAGATGACCATCAATGTTGATGTTGTCTTGTCACCTGGTGGAAGTGCAAGGCAGCCTTGCACCCAATCCCTCAAACCAGCCAAGAAGAAATCAAGTTTCCCCTTTGACCTCAAAGGACACACAGAAGGTATTTTCTGTTGTTCAGTCTTTCAGAATGACCAGAGAGCCCTCAGTGGCAGTTGGGACAGGACATTGAAAGTGGGGGATCTCTCCAATGGAGCAGAGCTGTTGACCCTGAAAGGACAAACAGAAGGTGTTAGCTGCTGTGCAGTTTTTCAGAACAATGACCAGAAGGCCCTCAGTGGCAGTTATGACACCATGTTGAGAGTATGGAATCTCTCCAATGGAGCAGAGCTGTTGACCCTGAAAGGACACAATCATGCTGCCCACTGCTGTTCAGTCTCTCAGAATGGCCAGAGAGCCCTCAGTGGTGGTGAAGACAAGACACTGAAAGTATGGGATCTCTCCAATGGATCAGAGCTGTTGACCTTGAAAGGGCACACTGATAATATTTACTGCTGTGCAGTTTTTCAGAATGGCCAGAGAGCTCTCAGTGGCAGTGGTGCACTACGCTAAAAGCTAGTGTAAAGATCTTTCGAGTGTTTTGTGTTTGAGAGAATGAAAGTTATGAGAGAGATTAGAAAGCTATGAAAACTAATCAACGAGAGATCACCATCAAAGGATCGTAGATCTGGTCTCCCGCGGGAGACTATAAAGTGTGATAGAGTAGGTTGCGGTAGTAATCCTACGTATCTCCACGATCCTAAAACGGAACGCGTGGAAGATTCGTCTAGCATGGATCTAGTAGCGTGGAAGTACTCCACGCTAGCTAAATATCTAGAATGATGTTTCATCATCAACCTAGTATGACTAGAGCGGTCATTGAGAACCCTGTCTCAAATGACTATTCACGAGAGACTCAGTCATGAGTCGAACTCAAACCCTATCTAGGATCGAGTCGCGAATAGGGCTAAGAGCCGTGTATTGCATTCGCCCCCTGACAAGGGTCACAGAAGGCGCGACAGCAGTCGGACAAGGAGAACGACATATGATTTAAAGTGCGGGGCACTCTCATGAGATTTGGATGTAGACATGTTGCTGTCGCCGATGGCAATCCTACAAGGGATCAGGCCTTTATGGGTTATACTACCTTATTTCCAAATCTGGTAGACTGTGCCGGCAACTTGGCGGTAGCATGTCGAAGCCTGTACATGGCCATTGTCATTACCGGTCTATATTTAAGGACCTTTGTACTTGCTGACCGTACTTGCGGTGAATACTGTTGAATCATCACGGAATCGTTGACATTGTATTGATGAGGGCACGCGTTCGCGTTTTCCCTTTCGTTGTTCTGTTGATTAGTCGTTAGCGACGTTCCTTGATGTACTTCCAGTTGGACTTCGAACGGACGTTTGTGAATCGCGCTCACGATTTGAACACGAGTTGCGCAGGCGTTGCACGCAAGGTGAGAATCGGTGGCATTCATTGCAAACAGAACCGCCGTGAGGACTCCATCCCCATGG